GTTTGGGTTTCCCACACACACACACAAAAAAAAATCCCTCGACGCAACCACGCCTAAACCACAAATGCTCAAAGCCCTGAACACAAGACTAGACCTAAAGCCCGAGACAACCTAAATTCCTGAAACGCTGAGAAGCCCTAGCATCCTAATGGAAGGGCGATCGAAATTCGAAAAGGCTTTGGAGTATGGTCGGTTCTAGAACAATTTTATCGGGACTTTCGGGGAATATGAATATTAACTATGCAAAGCCCTAAACCCTACCTGAACCCCCAAACAGTAGGTAAAATAATGGCCCAATACTTATGAAAGGCTATTATTCTACATGCTTTTAGAGGTAAACCCTAGACCCCAAACCGGGTCAGAGGTCCAGCGATGAAGCCCTTAGCTCTATGCCCTTCAGTCAGAAGAAGAACAGCCTTCCACTCCCTAACCCTAAACCCCAAACAACTTAAAGTCGTCCTTCTTTGGTGCTCCCGCAGAGGATACCTGCCGGGCAAAGGGCATATAGAGCTTACGGGACAGGTCTAGGGGTGCAGTGCTTTATCGTTTACGTAGTTTACGGTGTTAAGGTTGTTTTGGGTCAGCGCTGATTCTGTAAGTGCGATAGCCGAGTCCTCTGCCTTGCATTTCGCATAGTCGAAACGGCACTGCGTTCTCCGTTATTCTAAGCCCCTCATCTTCTACCACTATCAACGTTATAAGTATGAGCAAGACTAGGAGTACGTGAATTCTAGTTCTGTGGTAGTACTTGTTGCCTACCCGACCCCGGCGCAGGCGCTGTTTTCACGTGCCTGTCTCATTAGATCATGCCTTGATCTTCGTCCCACGCAGTGATTTTGGCACCGACCGACGTCCACTCAGATCCCATCCACGTACCAGAGCATCCATGGCCGAACGCCGTTAACGTCCACTCGGACTCATCCATTCCCTATAGAGCCTCCATGGCCGAACCGTAATGACGTCCGTGCAAACACTAACTGAAACCCCCTCCTAATTGTCAGACCACCCGTGGACGAATCGTACCAACGAGTAACAAATGCAGTCATACTGAGTCATACTTGCAAGCCCCATGGACAGCAGGACATGTGAGAATCATCGTGTGTGCACTGTCGTCGGCATAACGAACATTGCCTGAACTTCGATCAATCTTGCTGGTTCGTTTGGCAGCAAGGTCTTCAGTGGTTTCCGGGCTATTGTCTGTTTTGAATTGGGAGCCGCTGTCTTCGACCCTCGAAACCCTAAACCCCTGAACCCTAAACCTGTGATACCTAGTAATCCTCGGGGCTTGGCTCGGATCCAGGAAGCCCCTGAAGACTAATCACCTTCAGCCCTAAACCCGAAAGCCTAGTATGGGGTGTAAGATTTATGGGATCTGGGGTTTGGGCCGAAAAATCAGTTGGTTATCATGATCTCCCTGTATAAGCAGGGTTTTGGGGGCTTCAGGCAAGCCTAAGGAAATACAAAAAGACGACAGGAGTTTACATATTAGAAAAGGGCTTGGGGTATATTGTAGGATAATCATATGGAGGAACCCCAAGGACAAAACAGCTAAATCCTAAATCCTGAAGGCCCGACATCCTACATCCTAAAGGCCCTAAACCCTAAACCCGAAAGACCCTAAACCCTAAATCCTAAAGGCCCTAAGCCCTAAACCCGAAAGGCACTAAGCCCTAAAATCCTAAAGGCACTGGGCCCCAAATCCTAAGTCCTGGGAAGCCTTAGGCCACGCATAGAGCTTGAGAGTCCATACTTTGCCGGGTCAGGGTTGAGGGTTAAGGTTGGGGCTTGGGGCTGGAGGCGTTTCGGGTGGGAAGCTTCGGCTTCCACCTTTCGGCTTTCAACCCATTCAAGCCTTTGGGTTGAGGGTTTTTGGATGATGATCACGTTGATGACTTTGTGGCATCGGCATGATGATGGTCATGATGTTGACGATGGTCGTTACTACTTCGATCGCTGTTGACCGTTCTGCATGTTGTTGACTATGCTTAAAGACTTACTGCGGCCTCATTGCTGTTCTCCAATGGTCGCCGTCAGAAAGCCCAAGTCAAAAGGACACAGCGCATGCAACCAAGCCGCAGCGCTGGTTTGGTGTCGATACTGATACTGAAGTGCCTGCTGACTTTGTGAGTCTGGACTGGACTGTTTGGCCAGTTGCCGGAGTATGATGTCTAGGGTTTAGGTTGTAAGGTTCAGGGTTTCATGCTTGTCCCACTCTGACTGCGAGGTCGCGAAGTATTTAGTTTCCTGTCATTCCTCTGCCGTGAACCAATACATCTACTTCGAGACTCGAAACCTAACCATCGCCAGGCATTGCCACGGTCGTGAACTATGCGGTTGAAGGTTTGAGGTAGAAGGCCTCTGTCTATGTAAGGTTGCTGTTCATAGTAAGGGTGGGTTAAGGGCCTGAAGTTGAAGGTCTCTTGGTGTGTAGGGCTGCGCTCATGACCAAAGATCACCTCCTGAGGTCGATCGCATGGCTTTGGGGTTCGAGCCTGCGAAAAGGTTACGATGCAAGGGGTTGACTTCTGTTGGGGCTCTATGCCTTTGAAAGCTCAGGAGCTTAATATCCTCATGAAACAACTTTCAGCACACCTAGCTTCCGCTCTCCCAATTGCGCTCCGTGCTCGCAGACAAAATCGCCTGCAGCTGCGCAACCTCGTCCTCGTCAGGCAGGAGGGAAACCTTCGCAGAAGGCAAAAGCATGGTTTCAGCAAAACTGTTAATCCGGTGCCAGCATAATGATAAGCCGCATATCCTAAATGCCAGGCCCCAACACCCTAAAACATGAAAGCCCAGGAAGGACCGAATCTGACTCCCTGAATGCCGGGGCTCGCACCCGCCGGACGCTGGTACGCCGTTTCGAGGCTCCGAAGAAATTCTGGAAAAGCCTGGGGACAGTTGCGGCCCTTCGGCTACCATAAAGAGGAACCCTTTCTCAACGCATTTTCCGTCTTGCCTCGTCGGCGTGCTCTTGCGCGTGTTCTTCGGCGAGAGGCTCGTATCTCTCGTCGGGGTGCCTTCCTCCTCGGATCCTGAAAAGGGTTTACTGTTTGGGGCCTGGGTTTAGGTTTGAGGGCTTAGGTTGAGCTGAGAGCTTAGGATTTCAGGTTTAGTACTCAGGGTTTGAAGTTTATGTGATACATAATTTTAGGGTTAAGGGTTCGTACAACTACATGATGACAATGCATGACATGTGCCCACATGCTATGACACTGGACGGCCCTCACGAGCAAAGGGATACCTGTACCATGAGCTCCCGAAACAACCTGCCCACCCTGTCAGTTTGCCGATCGATCTGTAGCCGGCTAGCCGTCGGGCTATTCAGCCATGCAGCTAGCTATCTAGCTGGCTAGTCATCTGCGTGCCTAGCGATCTTTCTAGCTATCTACCCATGCATCCATCTATCTATCCATTTGTCTCTCTTTCTCTCACACACACGCTCTCCCTTTATGGCTCACTGCACTTCAAGTACTTGGAGAACGGTTTTGATTCGAGCTCCGTTTCCATGACACGGCTTGAAAGTATCATCCTCGGCAGAGTGTCTCAGCTCTTACCTGAACCATTGTGCCTTACGCTTGGGGTTTAGGGAAGGTTCCGCTACACACGTGACTTGAGAGTACCTGTCGATGCAAGGTACAGATTTCCTAAGTCTACAGAGCCCATGCAACCCTGAAACCTAGACTTAGACCCTCACAGCACGAACCCTTTTATAAAGCCGTCGTTCAGTCCTAGACTCTCAAGCCCTTGAACCGGAAGCCGTGGTTCAACAATGAACCCTCAAACCCTGATGCCCTAGGGCTTAACCCTTGAGTTGCAGCTCCACCGAGAGCCCTAACCCACGCCTAAACCCTACGATGTGAAACCCTTCAACGCCGAGCTATAGTTGAAACCCAAGCTCTTAAATCTCAAAGCCCTAGTGCGTACATACATACCAAATTACATTAAGCTCACACCGAGCACCAGAAACAAAAGCTTAAGCCACGCCCAACACCACAATTGTCGAAATTCATAGACTCTAGCATCCCTCGCTAAGTATCCCACTCAAGCCCTAAACTAACCC